ACAGAGAAAGAATGCTCGTAATCTGTTACAGATTATTGTGGATGATGCCTTTCCAACTCTACTAAATTCTCTATGAAAAGTAACAAAACTATTTATTTTTTATTTATTTATTAAACCAAAGTTTTCACAAGAGCATATTTCTCTACTTTTTTTTAAAATATCATTCGTTACGCGCAAACCATCGTAATGTATCATATCTCAGTCAACTCTGTTTCCAAACATTTTGTGTTGGGTTACACCAGCGATACCAGAAATGCAAATTGAGTATATGTGAATATAACTGTAATGTAACCATAATAACTTAACCTTTTAAAAGATTTAACAATACCAGAAACGATTAGATTAAAAAATATGGTGAAAGGTTGCGAACAAGTTTTTCTAACTTTTTGTATCAGAATCAATTGCAGAATTCCTAAGAGTGCTCACGTACAGACAGAACAGTCACTTGTCCACTAGGATGCGAGAAATGGAATAACAAGCCGTAAACTCGTTTCTGTATAAATGAAATTCAATATTTGCTGTGGACATCCAATAACGGCCCGGTATCATACGTTTCATAGCGTTTAGTGTCCTGAATGAATACTATGATCACGGTATCGCACGTTCTCGCTTTAATTAATCCCAGATAATTACAATACAATTTCCTATTACGAATTGGATACGTGGATAATTAAATAGCATTCATTTCGGCTCCTTAAAATAAACATCAATTTAAAATATTTAGAATCACGTACGTCACGCATGATTTTTTATTTTTAGGTTTTTTGTCACAACTTAAAAAAAGAAAAAATGAAGTTGTCTTTATATGATATAAATAAAGTACGCAAGTAAGTCTATAAATATTACAGTAATATCGGCTATTGTTAATTATTATTTATGAGTGAGTGCTGGATCATAGCACCCGTATATTAAAATGGATATTGCAATGTAGTGTAACACTCTGGCAACACTCGATTCGTTTCTTCGCTTCTTTATGCGGTCATAATTACGTAATTATATATAGATATGTTGTAATTCTGATTTATAATTACAAAGTGATGTGCGTCTTGTAATAGAATAACAATTGAATAATATGTATTGTTATTTGATTCTTGGAAGCGCTCTTTGGAATTTAATATTTAATACTGTTTCAACGTAAATCAAAATGTCTAAAATATCTACAACTTAGAACACTCAACACAGTTATGTAATGCTATTGCATTGTTTTGAATATGGTTCATCTTACAAATTTATACATGCAATGATAATACTTGCTATAAATAGTAATGACTAATAAATACAAATATTCAGAAACCTTTATAAGGATATAATATCCATAGTAAGGTTTAATCTTTAGAGCATATTTATGAATTCTGTTAACTGTATTCCTACATGTAAAGGAATATGCTTCTCTTAAATGTTAATTATAATGAAAGTCTTAGAATAGCTGAGAGTTACACTTCTCGCGATCTCACGACGGAGCAGGGAGGCTAACTTAGTTCATAAAGTAACAAAGTGGCTGCATTAATTACTCAAATTAGAACAAGGTTCGTTTCAATATTAGCTGCTCACACTAAACAATTCATAAAGGAAGGATCAAAATTAAATTCAAAATATTGTTTAATTCATCAACATATTTTGCACATCGCAAAGGATTCCTCATTCCGCAGCTCCATATAGTGCTAAAGAGTGGCAAAGTTGTTTGGGTCGGTAACTAAACACTGCCTGCCTATGTGATCTACGGCTTTAATTAAATTCCTAGATTTAATCACAAACCCCTCGTTTAATGGTCTCGCTATTTTAAAATCGAGGCTCTTTTGATGAAATATTCTAATGGAGATAATATAAATATTTTAAGATGTTCCTAAAGGGATTAACCGAAACCCATTCACGTGAACACTAAACGTTGTCCCATTCTCCGTTCCTCTTCCTTTTACATCGATTAAAAGCGTAATCAGCTTTTCAAACAAAAATTCGTGTAAGCTTGCTTTAATATTGTTTTAATGACTTATAATCAATTGGTTAGTATCAGTTTTAATCTACCTGTTAGCCACCTCACGAGTTGCATAATGGTAATGTTGCAACGTTCATGCAGGAATTACGAAATATCACCTGCGGTTATGATTGTCCGTTTTGAACATATTAAGAAACCTGCACGGGTGAGTTTAGTGCAGTGCTATTTAATCCACGACCTATTTGCGGTCAAGCGAGCTAGATCCACAGCCTGCACGGCGAGTAATCTTAAACCTGTTTAAAGGTTACTTTATTGCTGAGATGATAAGAATTTATTACGTGTTCCTTATTTTATAACAATACTGAAAAACTGATATTGTACATTTCTCCATATATTTTTATCATCCTATTTATTTGATGCGACTTTCACACGTTTCTGCTTTAAAGAATTCTTGTTGCTCACATAAAATGTACATCCCTACTAATATTATAAATGCGAAAGTAACTCTGTCTGTCTGTCTGTCTGTCTGTCTGTCTGTCTGTCTGCTACGCTTTCACGCCTAAACCACTGAACTGATTTTAATGAAATTCGGTACAGAGATAGAGTTGACCTTGAGAAAGAACATAGGATAGTTTTTATCCCAGACTTTTGAAAGGTTCTCTTGGAAACGCGATATAACCGAACTCCACGCGGCGAAGCTGCGGGCGGAAAGCTAGTTCGAAATAATATCTAAGCAGTTTTCAGAGCGACCTGGATAGGAAATACCGTATATTTTTTAACTGTTATTCTACTTGTAGTTCTGATTCAAACGATGTTTGAAAATGCTCTAGTTAATAATTATTAATATTAATTAGTTGATTAAATCCATTACTTCTTCTCTTCATGGTCGCTGGTTTATTTTGTACATTATTTTCGTAATGAAACCATATACCACCACTAAGCTTTATTTAACAAAGAACACTTAGATTGACTTAGGCTCGCGTGTAATTATGTTTATTATACTGTAATGAGTTTACCGATCTCTACACATAAACAGTCTAATGCTTAATAAGGGGTTGCTTGTTGTGTGAGAATTTTATTAGGGCATACATATTTTATTTCATGAACTCTAATGATCGACTGGTAATCATTTTGTATGTTTGGTGTACAATAAAAATATATATTGTTTAGCTTGTATATAATCACCTTATTTTTTGCTAAAAATGTCATCCAAAATAAAATAAAAAAAACTTCAGTTACATATTTTATTCCAAAACATAGTAAAGTCTATTTCTGTCACCATAAGTGCAACGTTAATAAGTAGGTCAAGTAATCCTTTGGCGTGTAAGGAGTGAGCAATCACACGCGCCACCCGCCTAATTGAACTCCAATGTCGTTCAGCCCGCCTACGGTGATTGATACTGACCGACTGGCGCAGCTTCTAATAACTGCCATTGTAAGGACGATCAACCGTCACAATCACAGACGGGGAAGTCTCCCGCACTTATGATTAATTCCGAGTGGTCCGACAGATAAATCGAATTGATGATGTGAAACGAACGTTCATCCTAATCTCGTTCACTCACACCTGCCGAAGTTACATGAGCCAGACTTATAGACCTTCATGTTGCGAGCATCCAATTAGTTTGGTCATCGCCATCAATATCCATAAGCGGCGCCACACGCGACGCTAGCCGGTCGGCGTCGCGCCGAGCCGGCTGGCCCGCCCTGACGCCCGCTCCTCGCGATTACCGATACTCTATCACGAGCGATAAGAATTTGCACTTCCGTGACCGGCGGCCTAGCAATCAAGAACTATAAAAAAAATCCAAATGCGTACACTTATCGAAGTACTTGTACTTTACTGTAATGAAACTGCATTACCCCTAAAGGTCACGTGCATAGAAAACCGTTATGGCACTAGTACAAAGGGTCACTGAATCGAATAGAGTAAGCGTGCTATGGACCCACGGGGCGATCCGATTTAATTTGAAACTCTTCACCTTTCAACCTAAAGGGTTGCCCGTTGCCCTAATCTTTAAACTATGACTTGACCGTTAATACGAATTCATAATTTAGTCTTCGATTATTTACATTGTGGAACGCCATGCCGAGATACGAATAAATTAGTTTCGTGTTGGGGAACAAAGCCGGTCCTAAGTTATAATAACCGTTACTATCTTTTAAAGCTTGAAATTGTTATAGTTGAAATGAATACGTAATAGTTGTTATATTTTGTTCCTGTCTGTGAATTTATCAAAATGAAGTAAAATGATAAATACTATAAAAATAGGTTTATATAGAAAGACAGAGTAGAGTAGAATTAAATAAAAATAGAAATTAATCGTGTTTTTTTTGACCTCATTTGATAAAAGTCAAATGAGAAGTGAATTTTATGACAATATAGAACTTTTTAAGAGAAAAATGTAATTTAAGACGTCTCCTATAAATTTTTCTGACCCCACGGCCATCAGGTGTCGTTTTAACCCCAATCTCTTCATATTTCATTTACATAGCCGAGGTATCCTATGCACTTTGTATGCACTCGCATCTCACTTTATAATTCAAATGATTCACACGATCTCCGGGTAGATTTGAGGAAATGTGAGAAATTGTAACGGAATTGTAATAACGAACATTTTTTTTAAATATTGGTTTATTAAAACGTCAGGATTAAGTGAATTCTTCACAGTATTATTATTAAAATTTTAAATATTATAATGTTGCTGGTAATATAAAACGTACCAAATATACTATTAATATAGTTTTATTATTATTTTATATAATAGTTTTGAAGTAAGTTTTCTTATGTAACTTTGTTTGTTTGTATTTGGAAGTACTTTTGTCAAAAAATATTTCAATTTCCAAGTTAATTTAAATAACTTAAAATAAACGATAAACTTATACTTTGTCGCGTTAGCAGCTTCTTTTCTTTGAAGACATTAAAATCATTTTATTTTTTAATTTAGCTGCCGACGTTACAGATGGAGGAATAATGATTTCAAAACAGAATCAAGTTTTTAGGTAATGTCTGAACTAGTAAGAATAAACAAACACTCGATTGCAATACACTATTGGGCATATCATCATGCCTTCCATGACGGTGCTAACCGCTGTGGCCTTGGCTGGTGTAATCAAATTAGATGAGTGACGTCACCAACAGCAACTCGCGCTAATTAATACGAACACCGATCATAACACCGCATCAGTGATATATTCCACCGCAGAATGCATCTTAGAATAACGCACTTGTTACTAATTTACACGATCTGATAAAAAACTATCTCTATCCTTATGTAACCTTTATGTTCAATGAGTTTTTATTCATAACTTATCGGTTAGTGTTAATTCAAGGTTGAAAACTCTTGCTAACGTATTTACCGTACATAGTATTGCCTAATGGATGTTCCTTAATCATCTATAGTTTTGTATTAAGTGTATCTAAGTTTTCATATTTAAATTAATAAAAAGGACATATAGAGCAATGTAATGGAATACTTTTAAATTTTGTCCAATTTAATTAATAATTATTCACATTGTTATTTAAGACAAGCTAAGATTTACACCATTTGTGTTGTTAATAATAGCAATTTAGATTCGTCTATAGTATATATACCAAGTTTATATCTAAATAAAACAAAACCTAGATAATTAAATAATATAAATTAAGAAAACAGGCTAGACTGGCTACGAGACTGTTACGATTACGTCATTTCTGAAGTAAGTGCATTAATGTAGGCAAACGAGGCGCTATCTTTGTGTTTCTCGGCAGAGGCCTGTTTTTGATATGAAAGCAACTTCCTAGGCAGGAGATAATAGAACGTCGGTTGGTAGAAAACGTAACAAAACATTATTTTTTTTGCCATATTCAGCATTGAAATCATTTCCGGATTTAGTGTATGCAAATCCAAAAACGCTAAAACTAATGTAGACATTCCTACCTTTCAAAATTTTCAATAATAGCTAAAATTTTTCTTAGCCCAGAATGAGGAAGTTAATAAGTAGAAGTGATATACAAAGAAGCGAAACCACGATGGTATAATGTTTATTTAAAGACAACGGTGTCGTGCAGATGACACCTAAACAAATCTCAATATCTGGCATAGGTATGAATATTTAGAACGAGAGAGAGCGAACTATTCTCTGCGCGTTTATAGGACATACAAAATAGATTGTGCGAATAGGGTTACACGCACCTGTTATTTAGCTTTGAGTGGATGTGCGGGACGCGGGGTTGGAACTAATTCATTAATAATGACCCACAATGAGACGCTCTTATTTAAGAGCTGCGGCGACTTGGCTAAACCACATGCAGGCGTCTGTGATACTGCTTACACTAACTATTTATTACACCATACAACGCTGGTATATATATTCATACAATTTAATTCTGAAATTGAATTTAAATGATTCATGTTGTGTGTGAATTAAATTTTGTTACTTATTTGGGATATGTTTAACGGGATTCATTACATTAACATGGGCATGTTACATTATAGCGACCATGGTTATTCGTTTTATTTGGTTCTTAACATATAAGGTTAAGCCTTTTGTGATTGTAAGTCGTGAGAGGAGCGCTGTATAAATTTGACTCTGGATTTTTTTTATAAAATACCACTTCAATGAGGTTCTTATGAAGACAACATTTTTATAACGACCCTAGTGTTTTTTAATTTCTTATAGAAGCTCGGTCTTTCTGTTTTTCATCTTGACTACTTCGATACAAAATGGTGCGTGCGTGCCATATTTTGATTCGTATTTATGACTCACTAAATATTGTCAGCTAAGATGTTATGGTCCGTGACTATTTCGTGTGTTTTTTTCTAAACAAAATGAATCTATTATAACGTGAACGATTTTATGACTCACGATTTTTTATTTAATATATTTTTTCAAATGATTCATGTACCATTGCTATATGAAATATCCTTGATAAAATGTTTAGATTCGTTGAACCATTATATAAATAACAAAGAAAATAACCAACATTTGACCTTATTTCACCTACATATATAAATAAACATATATATAGTTTATGATATTTAAAGATATTATAAAATAAATAGCCAAAAATAAAAAACAGCTTTTTACAAATGAATTGATTTGTTCAAACCGAATAAATAGGATAGTTTAGCTGCAGGCTAGAGTTAATATTTTATAGTTATAGCAAATGTACATGAAATCCATCAAAATCAGACTGAGAAATAATGATTGCAAACATTATATTAAATTCTTACAAATACTGTAAGATTGCCGGCTAGGGGGGATGAGGTAAGCGACCTTAAAAGCCACTTAACACACAGCGCGCTCAGCCGCTTGCTGCGTTTATTATTGCTTAGATAATAATTCAGATAATAGCCTCCGTTTAGTTTCGACATACTTCAATTTTGGTAGCTCCTACCGAAAATACTCTGACAACTTAATCTGTTTGTACACTGAAGTAACTATTCACAATGTTCATTAAATGTTAGTTTCATTACATCTCAGCAAATCACAAGATTTTCTAAAATCACCTACCTTATCTTGCATGAAAGAGAGAGAAGTCCACTTTAAGACATTATTTAACAATAGCAAATATCAGTAGATGTCGATAAAAGACTTTCATTTCCGTGCCCACGTCAGACACCCGGAACCCAATATGGTACGTGGATCATCATAGATGAGCAAAAGTACATCTCTAACTTACGATCACAAATCATTGGCTCTTACATTTTAATCTCTCAATTTCTTTCGTTATAATGCATGACTTTTATTTTAAAGTAGGTACACGGCCACCTCGACCGTCGGTGCTATATACATGTATACTTCACAAAATGTCTAATTAGATAAAATTAACTCCACTACGAATTCGGTGAGATAAAAGCGATTAAGCGCTACAAGGAATCAGATGAAGCGAGTTAATTAACGTTTACGCAAAGTCATCAAGCAAGTGTGAGCTCGGTTCCGCGCTCGGTTCTCGTACCTCGGCCAGGAGCGCGACTTTGCAATCTGCTTTACCGCTTCTAATTAAACGCTAGAACACCCCTGTGAAAGAACACATCTAAAACACATACATGCAAACGTTTCGTGTCTGATAATGTGTTACACTTTGCGTTGCGTTAGAAGTTACTTGTTTTGTGAACGTGAACGCTCCAACCGATATTTATACATAGCAGAGGCACTTTAAATGAAAAATGGAATGAATAAATCACAAATAATGCCTTCGTGCTCTTTAACTCGAGCAAGTCAATTATGACGATGCGCTTCAAGGAAGCTGGCTAATTTCTAAATTCTTTGTAAATTTAATTCTCTTAATTAGTGATACACATATAAACTAACCAGCTACCGGCAATTTATTATGCATGTAATAAAGTATACTGAATTTCTTTTAAATAACAGTTCTTCAGCAAACTTAATTAATTTAAAATTATTTCCATGTGTGTTAGGTGTTAGGATGTTTATTATGCCTCGTGATATACATAATTTAATTAATAATCAATCTAAAAGAATGGTACAGGAAATACGACGCGTGCGCGGTTATCTGATATAAAGATGAGAGACGTGGGCGAAACTGAGATGGACAACTTATTTATTTCCCAACAAATGATAGTTAATATTGGGAACAACTTGCACAAATTACAAAACAGAAATACGTGACGATAAATATATAAGTGTATTTCAATAATGAAACACTTCTCTCTGGACTTTATCTATCGTTGATGTTTGTTTCAAATATAACATAGTCTAGTTCGAATATGCGATGCTGTTCCAAGTAGGCGTTAAATGTGGTATGAGATTAGTTCTTTACTGCTATTGGCAAGTGATTTTTTCGCTTTGCGCTACATTATCTGCACGAATGTGTGAGTGCTGTGTTCGGTGTGGGACGGTACAGTGCATTTTTTGCGAGCGTGAGATGAACGCTAGTTCATTGAACTTCATTGCTCGTCTCGAGGACACTTAATTCGCTAACTCCTTGCTTCATTTATAATTAAATGCATTTATATTTCGTGATGTCAAAATATAATAAAATTATCAAAACAACTGAAAAGTCACTTAGTATATCTTTATTTAAAAATTACAGTTTATTGCCAGAATTTATATTTGTAGGCTATACTTTGAACGCAAATAAAATGTAAAAGAAGGTAGAGTCATAATTCTATTTCGTTGTTTGATTGACGGATGATCTCGTGTGAATTATAAATGAGAGAAATTAAATTTCTAACTGAAATAAGTTTTATTACATTTTGTATCATGTGACATTTGGCATTTATTGTAATCCTACAGGTATTTTAATATAAAACATGATACAAAAAATAATCTTACCGAGATGCGACGCCGAGAAGTGTTCAAATGAGCTTTTATTTTAGATGTTACGCTCCAAAGACTGCGACGCAAAAACGGAATCGCATCGTCATCGAATCTCCAGTAGACGTGGTTGGCTGCGGCCTGCATGCCTTACCCGTGACATATACATATTGTATTAAACGAATCATCCTCAATCTTGCTCGTAATACATAGCGTTATATACCAGAGAACACTGCGGTCTCCTTGACTTTGTCGCAGACTCAAAAGTTGGAGTCAATACTGCTCAACTTATGTAAGGCCCTCGCCGAACCTGTCCGATTTCATAATGTGTTCGTTTCCTATTCTGTTTGTGTTGGCTTCCTTGAGAGTCTGAGTGCATTCGATGTCCTACCGTCGATGACAAATTATAACGAACATATTACTTGGAAAACATAGTTACATAAGTATAAGTAGTTGTTGTATAAGAGGGTTTATATTCATTTCAGATTATGTCTGTACCATAATACTATATATTATCAATTAATCGAATCCCCTACACAGTAAAATGTGGCCAAACTGAAAACAACATTTTGCCAATTCTGCCTTATTATTATTATTATTATTATTATTATTATTTGTAACTATCTACTGTCTTTATTATTATAAGAGCCATTCTTTATAGATTTATTGTATTGGGTACATTCTGTTTTTGTTAAATAATGGAACAAAGCTGCTTTTAGAAAATGCGGTAGAGGTTACTGTTATAAAGCTATTATAACTTCAGGTTCACAATTACAAACTGTTGCGCCAATTTATCAAAGAGTGTGATATTCCAGTGTTCTGTTAGCAATGTCCTCGGACGGGTCACGACTCACAAGCGGTTCGCAAACCCGTTCCAACGCACTTTCACCGACCACCGCCTGCGCCCGCGCCCGCACCCGATCCGCTGGTCGCAGCACCTCGCTCCTATTCCCACTTGCATCCCACGGTCCTCATCCATCACACACGATGTACTTAAGACCCAGCCATCGATCAATGTTATTTCCATTATTTGGAAAGATAACATCATGTTTCTATGCAAGTCCTATTATATAGACGAAACTATGATTATTCCTTTTACGGTACCTTTATTTTTTAAAAACCATCTCAGGGCATTATTTATTTAAAACTTACATTATCGGTTCAAAACTACACAATCGAGGGGGCGGGCGGAAGTGTGGCAGTGGCGAAAAAGCTCGCAACGGCACGAGGAGAAAGGAAGCGGAGCGCCGTGCGGCGTGATAAGGCAGCCGGCTGGCGTCCGTCAGGGCAGGGGTGCGGGCGCGGGCGGGTGGTGGCCGGGGGTGAGGCGGCGGGGCGAGGGGGCCCGGTGTCGCGGGGTGCGCGGTGAGGGGTGCGCGCGCAGCGACGCCCCGCGCCGCGCCGCTCGCCACCCGTCAGTCGCCCGCCGACTCCGCTTGTGCTTGTGTGACTCGCGCTGCTCCGTGCACCGCACTCGTGCTCCGAACACGACGCGTGCCGCCCTACCGTGGCCGCGAACGCGACCTCCAGCTACCGGCGAATCGTTTCTCCTAACTTACGTGCGACTTGCTATGATTTGACTTTTGGACATTTACGCTCCCTTACCCAGCTTGTTTATCCCTCACCATGTAAGTGCTACCGCTCATTTTATAATAAACGACTTGTTAACGTAATCGTCGATTTCGGAACTCGTGTCAAAGTGAACGTCGTGAAAGTTAGTGAATATAGTAGTGTTCCGCTACATAATATTTTCGTGCAGCTAGTGTTTTCGTCTACTTTGTGTTAAAGTTCTATTGTCGACGATTTCCGAAAATCGACGGAAACTTATAAGTAAATAGTTAGTGTGATCGGCGTGTTAGTGTCGTGCGATATTAAAGTAAAACCTAACATTCACGGTACTTTCCCATATCCTAACCGGATTAAGCTAAACATTGCATCGGGCGCAAACTTCTCTTGCACACACAGCAACTCTGATATAATTGTTACCATCCTTCACATCAAAACCCTATTCCCTGGTAGACTTCAATGGCTATGTAACGAAAACACATTTCACCATAATTCCGACCTAACATAAAAAACACGGGGACTTAACTCACCCTATCAACTTGAAGGGTTAGATGGGAGCTGGATGAACATTGGTTCGTATTTTCTATTTTATTCAGCAACTATAGAAATTTTTATATACTTATGGTAAATCACCCGTTCCCAACAAAAAAATTAAATACCATTACTTTACGAAAGTGAAATTACTATGACCACGAAATTACCATTATCTATAACAAAAGATGGGTTCTTTATAATTATGAAAGATTTGATATAAGTTGCAGGACTTCTTGTAAATAAAATTTCCTCGTGCAATATTAACTTTGTTGCTAAACTGGTTCGGTACTGAGATAAATGACATCCTATCCTTAAGGTATTTAAAAACTCGTCTCAAAATTACTTTGTCCCTATGTTGCAAAATACTTTACAAAAATAATTTTGTCATTTAAAGAACAGATAAAAATATATATTTTAGTAGAGTGAATTAATTGTGGTAATTATTTAAAGAGGACGTCATTTAAGTAGTGACCGTTAGATGTGTTATGAATGAAAATACGTAAAAGATGTTATTGATTTTAAAGTCAATGAATGTTATTTCTTTAAAATTATACCATGATTTTTTTCATAAAACTTAAAAAATTACCTTGTAAGCTGTTTGTAGACACTTTTTATCGATTGAGAGATTAGATGATACGTAATTCAGATAAGAAAATAATCTTATCTTTCGAGTTGATGTGATTTTCATAAAATTCTCAAAAAGTTAAAAAATACGATAAAACCACTAAAACTAACTTGCTTTAGACTAATATCTATCAATTATAAAAATAGACAACTCTAATACTCATATATTACAAAAAGAATCAGCAAAGTCAATTAAAAGAAAAATAAAATTATTAGTGAGCGAGAAAATTTAATAATTCCGTATGTGCGATTGCATGTGTTAATTTTAAAATTCCCGGTATATTGGATCAGCTAAGCCCCAAACAGTTTGTTTGCACCGTTTCATCTACGAGGGTAACAGCTGGCTTCGCTACCTGCTCACAACAATGAAGCCTCTGTCAATAGAGCCCGCTCTACTACAATATTTTTGTTCTACTTTATTATTTTAAATTGTAAAACCGCTAAAAAACCGAAGAAGAATTACGACTTGTTTTATTGGAACATTACCTGAACAAAAATATTCCGTGAAATATGTCAAAACGTCATAATAATTCAAATTTGCAATTCGTCACACCTCATTATATAAATCCACCGAAATATAATTTTGTCAGCACGGACTAAAATCGAAGTGAGTACTTTTAATGCTATCGCAAAGAATTGTTATCTTATCATGCTGAAAATTAAACGGATGTGACACGCCAGTCGCTAGTTGCAGATTACGATACTAAATTAATCATCGATAAGACTTATTTACGATTTATTTAACATAATAACACCATTAAATTTATAAAATAAATTTCACATTAAAACGGACATCAATATTATCAAAGAGGTCTTATAAATTTTAAATATCTATGCATATAAGGGTTACAAAATTAACATAAAACGCAATATTTTGGTCTACCTTTATATCGTATGTCTACCAAAAAGTAAAAAAATAGTGTGAAATTGTATCGGGTGCAAAAACTGTAATGTCAATGTATAGCCGGCCCGGGAAGCCGTTTTCAAGCAATCGGGGAAACATGTTCGATAAGGCGTGCACATTAACGAGCGCACTTGCAATAGCCCCGGAATTGTGTAATTTGCTCCTCGTAAATTTAAACCCGTCGCAAATTTTTCTCTTCTCTTGCTAATTACTAGTCTGCTGGCGTCCCCGGAGCCAGCTTAATGTACCTCGTGCATGTTCCGAATGCGAGAACGGGCACTAGTAGCGATCTACACTGAACAGGTTAACAATGGCCTTTGTTTTTACTACCGGAACTGACCTACGTGCTAGGCTAATTCGGTTCATTTTGCACTTAATTTGCATCAATTAGTTCACATAAATAAAATAATAATGTGTCTGTCGAGAAGTAATGATATGATTTGTTCCAGACCGAACAATGTATTGATTATTATCATACAATAACACTATTATATATTTAAATATTATTTGCATAGAATTGCATGAATGTATAAAAAATTATACTTGAGCGTTTGGTAAAATTTTCAAAGTAAGATCTAGTGGTGAGTCAGGGCAGCACGTGCAACGAACGTACGTTGATCCGCGCACGGAATAACTAATCTTGAGCCGGTGACATCACATTCCACCCTTGTGATCCCGTCAAAAAATATATTTTTCACGACGAGTAAATGAAAAATCGTTTCATTACTTAAATATAATTATATTTCAAAGCATTCGAGAGCCTTTTATGACAATTGTCATGAATAAAATCCACTGTTTATGAATGTAATCCTCTAACAACGTTCCTTATATATAATGTCTTAAATCTTAAATATTGACTGCAGTATAAAACACGTTAATAAGGTTATTTCAAAATGCAAACATTTTCGAACTTATAATAAATGTGTAAATTATATGTTTTGATTGTGTTACTCACTGACGCAGAAAATCCGATTGGATGTTGATGAAAGACAGAAAATGCATAAACCTTAATTAACACATTGCATACTTTTCATACTTTTTATTCCACTCAATTATGGCTGTATGGCTTAACGACTATCATCATCAATTCCGTTAATATTTCTTTATCATCTAATAGTCATAAATTTCTATACTAATATTGCTACTAACAATTTTATATGATAATCTTTTCAATAATTTTTCGTAACGTAATTATAAGATACCTTTTACATTATATCTACGATATGTGCTTAAGTCATTTTGCATTATTAAAGAACTTTCACGTCCATTATTAAATTGGTAATTTTCAAATAAAGATAGTAATTAGGACATATAAATATTAGCATTCTTACAATATATACGTGGTTTTAATATAAAATTTACTTTTCCAATCCCCTGAATAAAAGTTGCTTTTTTTATTATTTTCTTTTATTCTCTGTGAAATATTCAATTAAATAAGCGACTTGGTAGACAATATTGATTAAATTGGTAACGAATCATAGCTCCATTGAAGTGTTTCGAAGGTAATAGTGGTAGTTTTTATACCGTCTGTGGCTTGCGCGTCGGACCGCAACACCACTACCCAAGGTCATCTCCTGTTAGCGTCCACTTCGTTTTCCGCTCTGTCATTTAAATTCTTGTCTCTTTTTTAATATGACAGTTTCAATCTATTTCATTATTTGGTGTAACCGTTCACGCCATCTAGCTTGTGCAATAACCAACAAAGAAAGACAAACTTCTTCCATTTGAGTTTTTATACTCCCAAAGTAAACTGTTTTTCAAATCAATTATACTGTGGCGTACGAGGTAAATTATTTTTTGTTTCCATACTTCCTCGTAAGCAACATTAAAAGTTATATTTAACCTTAGATATATTAATACATAATGTATTGATTTATTATTTTTAAATTACAGTTGATTTATTATTTTTAAACTTTCATAGCATTAATAATGTAAATTGCGTAAGAAAAACGAAAGTGAAGCGTCTGAATTTGGTAATCAATTCATTTTATAGCTAGCCCGCTTTATGACCACAAAGGGATTTAAATGGTGTACTTTCAAAGCAAAACAATAGGGAACAAAGAAAATGCTACGGTATTGATTCAAAGAAATTTTTAAAATAACATTATTATATAATTTTTATATATAAAATTGTAAATATGTTATTTTTTTAAAACTAAGTTGTTCAATAAGAAGGCAAGTATATACCTGAAGGTTAAATTTATAATGACTTGTAACATTAATATACAATTTGGACTAGATATTTCATTCCTTTCAGAGAAGTATATAATAATTTATATATTTTAATCTTTGAGATCACAAAAGTGAAGTCGCTTGTCACAGTTTAGTGAACACAAAAAGACAAGTCATGATGTTGCCTCAATAAAATCAACGTCTACCAAATGTCACGTTTTAAAAGTTCAGTCGTGTGGGCAATAGTAGCTAGCGAAAGGTGCGGTTAAGTGTGGCAACATATATACATACAGTATGCATATAATCGTTGACTGGATATAGTAACTTTAATTCAGATATTGTTTGGTTATATCGTTTAAACATTGAGCACAAAATATTTGAAATATAAATAAATAGAAATATTCATGATACATGTTTACGGCATCCAATTTACTAGCTTTTATACTTTTAAAGGAAAACATTGTTATACGCCCCAATGGAAGGGCTGAATGTGCTATAAATCTTTCTTTACTCTTATTTTGGCTTGAAATTCTTTTGTGAAAATAAAACTAATCTTTATATAAAATACAAAAAATGTCTGAATTGTTACTGTCACTATCCCTATACTTAGCCTTTAAGCTCTTCGGATTCTTATTGTCTTGATAGCTTAATGGTAAGAGCGCCCTCCAAGCCGGTGGGAGACCCAGGTTCGAGTCCCGGTCAAGACCACGGATACGAAGCAGCCGAAGGGCATGTCCTTACTAATAATGCAATTAACCGCACTCTTCGCGAACATGTTAAACGTTCGTATAAAAAATTCGATTGCAAATTGATCGAGTCGACGATCACAAAGGCGCAGCTCGACTCTTTTTCCCCCTCTCACCACCCTAGCACCCGACCGCTCTCACGAGATTCTTATTTAGATTCGCTTCCGTCTGATTGCTCTTGGTAATCTTTTCACTGGGTTATTGAATGTCTTCCCCGTGCGTGTCGAGCATCTAAGAAACCCCTGCTGCTGGCACAAGTGCTTTCAAAAGAATAAGACACTGATATCCTTTGGACCACCATCTCAATGTTTGCTTAATGTGCGATATAAAATCGTGTCTCTTTAGATTAAATCGTTCAGATGTCTAAGGAGAGGAGTATAATATTACAAAACCCTTTAGATGATCCCTTGTTTATATATGTCAAAGAAATATGCTGTGACTAAAAACAACACAACAAGTTTCAACTTCATTAGCGCTATAATTCTTTTTTAATAGATCAATCGAGTGACCAAGTAAAAGTTCCTTTTCTCTATGACAATATTTTTAATATTATTTTTGTCCTAGGCTTTGTACTATCAGTCTAACTTATTTAAGTGATATTCTAAATGAATTATTAACTATTTAAAAAATGCAGTTTAAGGCGGCTCGGCTTTAAAATCTTCATAAGTAGCTTAGGTATCGGAATAACAGATAAGCAGATTAAAATTTATAGGAAATCATGTCAAACCGGAATCTTTTAGCGAATTTAAGTACCTATAAGTAGAACAAAATAGTAATGCTATTGTTTCTTGTTAACAATGTCACATTTCCCTTTAAAAACAAATTTAGTGTAAAACTTCATATTTAAATTTTGACTTAGTGGAATTATTTCCTTGTTTGTATGTAACGTTTCTGTGAATAAGTTAAAAACGTTGAAAGAAAAATAAAAAATAAATGTATAATATTAAATAATATTGTAAAATGAATATTTTTTCCAAGCTCCAGTCAGATACTACTTTGTCAATTTAAATATAATCTTCATGATTTTATGAAATTGAGTTTCTCCTTATTACGTCTCTCATTATTGAGCTGTAAAATGTCAATTGCAATAAGTTAAGTAAATTATATGTAAAGAAAATTGGTATGAAATCTATAAATTCACTCGTAAAATACAGTTATGCTTTTAGAAGTTTAAATATATGAATCGAATATGTTCATTAATAAATTAAGTATATAAATTATTTCCCAACCTATAAGTAACCTTTTCTATGGAAATTACTTTTCGAAAGGAAGGCTCTTACCCTATCTAATTGTCTGGGGAAATAAAAATACAAGGGAATTTGATTTTTCCTTAAAAATATAATAATTGTTTTAGACAAAAAACTACAGCAACAATAACTATATCAGACACGAGAGCAAACATAAATGAAGGAAGTCATCTCTCAGGAGCTTTAAACGATCTTGTGCCTTAATAAAAAAAAACAACTGCACAAACATCAAAAATAAAATTTGAAGATTATGCACGATGAGGAGTGCGACGTTGCGTTGCCGCACACTGAGCTATTTTCATCTGGGTTATGCTTTAAATAGCACATTACGATAGGATTTGGTTTCACGAGTTTTCCCCTGTTACCGGCCCCAGACAGTCAAGTTTCGACTCTCGGCGCCCACACAAAGAATTTTTCCACCTCTGATACACATTGGCTCAACGCTTCTCATACATATGTTTCATAATTCTCTCTAAAACCGCAACCTCGAATATTTAGTGCTCCGTTTATATTTTACGTGGCAATTAATTTTTGCTTCAACTTGTAATGTTACTAAAAGCCAAGTCCGAGTATTTACGGTCACGTCTAGTCAATGTTATTAATTGATATGACACCTGTCAAACTCATAAACATACCACACACTACATATACACATAAACATTCAAACAACATATTATACGTAAATCCTCACACACACAACCACTTCTTTATATTCTAATTTTAAAACTAATTATGTTACTTTCAGTCTAAATTAAAAAGCTGGGTTTTCAAAGTAATATTTTCCTTAAACTAACTGGTGTAATGTGACATGTTTGCTATATTATATTAAAACTTAGTCCTAGCATACTATCCTATTCACAAATATATTTGCCTGGGACATGCTACATGTGAAACAATGGTAATGTGGACCCATGATCGGTTCCTCGTACCTTATGTGCTTTCTAACCCGGCAGCCGCTTGTGCTTGGCTCCGGGGCGGACCTCCCAGCGCCCGGAGAGTAACCAGTGTGTTTTCTTGTTCGCAGAGTTGAGCCCCCTGCACCACATCGGCTTTCTCGCTGACCGCCGAGCCGCTAAATCGCTTTTTCGCGCCCTACCGTCGCCAACCCAGTTCCGCACCGGCCGCTGCCGCCATGCTCGCACACCAGACACCGCTCGCCCTCTACTAAATCAACGGTCGACATCGATACGAACGCGTGTGATTATTATTAATATTTTGATATTTGCCTAAATAAGCTTGCAACGTCGGTGTCTTTAATTCTTCTAATCTAACGTACGATTAACATCTCAATAAATCATTAACCGAACCGCGAGCTAATCGCCAGCGGTGTTCCTATTCTTTCGCGTGTGCAGAAGTGTATAGTGAAGGGTGCGCGAGCGCCATAGTGGTAACAGAATCATCTTTCCCCGAGTAAGTGAGAAGTGCATGCTCGGAGCGCGCAGGCGCGCTCTCTCCTCGCCGCATATGCGCCGCACTCGCCTCGCTGAATAGTGCGAGCGCGTATCCTCGACCACAGTGGCAACAATGGCAACCATGGTGAACATGAACAGCCTTCTGAACGGTAAAGACTCGCGTTGGCTGCAACTCGAAGTATGCAGAGAGTTCCAACGGAATAAGTGCTCGCGACCTGACACCGAGTGCAAGTTCGCACATCCTCCGGCCACTGTTGAAGTACAGAATGGAAGAGTTACTGCCTGCTACGACAGTATCAAGGTAACTTTCCTTTGTCTTTATTAGTTCCACAAATATCTCAACATAAACTATTTCTTAATTAATAATTAAAGAACAATATCTAAGCGACAAAAAGAGGCAGATTCAAACCATGTTAGTGCAAAGATATTACCAGTAACTACGTTTATCTATCCCTACTAATGCCATCTATGATGCTATCAGTGAACAGTTATCTCTCAAATGTGAGAGGTACATGAGTGCTCAAAAATGCTACTACAACGCTGAAATCTGTTTTTTTTTCGTTTAAATTGAAACTAATCTAACTTAGTGCACCTTCTATTTATGAAACCTTTATGACTTTTATAAAAACGGAATTAGGCGACTTTTAAATATTACCGACAAGAGTTTCGGTTTTTATAATCTTTTATATCAACTTTTATACCTACACACTATCTTATAAACACTTAAATTTATAGCTTAATTAATAGTTATCTCGAAATAATAAATAAATTATAAAAAAGAACTTTCATAACGTTATCTGATTATACAATCTGTACCCGTACTCATTTCGCTTTTCGCTATTCGTATAAAAGTATTTTCATTGTGAATTACTCAGTATTAGGTGGCATTATAAGAATGTAGCCATCCTTAAAACGGCTATGCTATGCATGCAACTGTGATTTTCCGGGTGAATTTGACAACGCTTCAGACAACATTTTCACCGCCGCCATTTCGAACACCGACCTCAATTCCAAGGCTAGCCTGGAGTGACGTCATTCCCCCCCCCATAGCTGTCTGCCATTGTATGGGAATTGGCATCGTGCTAACATAATGAACAGGACGATGACTCGGCGGCGCCTTCATATATCATAGTCATTTTAATCTAGACTTCGCAAAGTTAATACGTTATTATTGCTTAGATATTTGTTATTATAATGTATGTCGACGATCTGTTAACTCATTGCCGCTAATACCTTATGATACTAATTAGCAGAGACAAACAGATTTGAAAATGTTTATCAGTTGTTTTAATAAAATGTGTCATTTTATTGACCAATTGGTGGTCACAGCGTGATACGGTTATCAGTGGCGGGTGACGTAACGTGAGGTTATTTTTGCAAGTTACTCTGATAAATTAACGCCAACACATTATGATGGATTCGTATTCATGTAAAGTAAGAACAGTTAAGTCAATCATGTTTAATGATTTATGCTTAATAATAATAACAAATATCGCACTCCACATGGCGGTTTAAATTTTTTCACGTTATTATTCATAGGAGTTATATTTTAAATTTGAAACCAGATATATTTATTCGTTTCGCATCCTATTTTGTAATGATTTTTCTATATAGTTTTGTTATTGCCAAAGCTTGTTGTCAAGTCTATAATTTCTTTTATCGGCTATAAATAGAGTTATAAAATCCCTACATTACCCCTCAAGTGTAAAAGTACGGTTTAAAAGACACTGCAAGACTTTATTCTATTACATTATAAAAGATGCTATAAATAACACATTCAAGTTATACTGATTTTGTATTATGCTAATTATATTATCTTCCTACTATCAAAAGTCTGTTACATAAGTCGAAAGATAATTTGTTTTTTATTAATCGCATTTATAATATATGTATCTATTAATGACAACTTCATTTTTCTGAAGTAAAAGTTTGGTCCGAGTTAAATATTCTATCTTTATTTATAAAAAAATTTAAGATTTTATCTCAAGTCAATAATTTAAGGAAACAAAAACATTACGCTTCAATGGTGGTAGCCTAAGGTTTACCTATGTATGCACTTTTATGAAATTGTTATTACATGAAGTTCGGACTTGACGAAAATCAAACTAATACGTCTGAAGCGTAAACCGGTGATGTTTAGCCCAAGACGTTAGACAATAGGCGAGCGTTGCATTGTTCGGTCTTTGTGCACGGTGGTATCGCACGTTCAACAATGGATCGGTCGCTGTCGACGATGCCGCATGCAACCGATGCATATCTTTGCTCTCCCGTCTAACTTCCTTAATAGAATTTTTGACTAAATTGCATTAGTGAGGTCTTTCTAACACACGAGACATTCTTTGGATGATTAGTTTAGAATAATTTAATTTTATATATAAATCCATCTCGTTATATTCGATTGTAGGAGGCGTTTATAATAAACCCTCTTAAGAAGAATCTTTCATTTACAAAAAAAAATAAGACTACCAAGTGTAGGTATCATTAAAATATTATAACAGTAATTTTCATTGTCACTATACTCTTTCACAATAAAACAAATTTGAAGGAAAATGTGTATAAGAGACTTAATCGCTAATGAGCGGTCTCTACTATATTTGCACTCGCTTTCATTGTTAATTATGATGGGCTACAGATATGGTTGTAGTAAAACGTCTCGCGGATTAACGTGGTTGGGTCTACAATAACTCTAGAATAAAATATTTACTCTTTCAAATTTATGCAGCTATAAAAAAAACAGTTTTTAAATTCGTTGAATAAGATATTTATGCAACATCTGTCACATATAGAATTAATCAACTTTAAACTGTACGTATAGTGGTGCGCCCCAATACATTTACTATTAAATTCGAATCTTAGTGCAAATTGTCACCAAATGTATCGAACGCAATCGAGTGCTGATCAAATAGACCCCGCCACCCGCATGCCGCTGCGACGCGAAAACGTCTCCTGTGATTAAGCCTTCAATTACGCGATATGGCAGGGGGCTCATATTTGATTAGGATACGTGTTTTGTTGATTAAAGCGAGCTTATTGCCTTATTCACTTAATCTCACCCACACTATGTATAAATGCTACCAATCAAACCGGATTTCGAAATGTCTTCTCGTGCTGAGGAAGTCACCGGTTTCGTCATCTGACATTAAAATGACCGTGAATCACTGACCGAGCGTGTGTTGAAAATTATGAGCAGATTCAGAATGAGGATACTCTACGCCTACTCCTTAACGCCTAGTTTTATAGATAAATGGTCAGAGTTTAACATTAATGATTATTATTGTGAAACAAGCATTGCAACAATATCTTTATAAAATAGAATTCTTATACTGTAAACCAATCACCCAGACAAGTACAAAAAGAAAAATCTCGATGAAAATTCAATAAAAAATTACAAAAGACGTAACGCTGCTATCTCACTTTTTTGCTGAAGTTATGTCCTAATTTTTGGAACTTATGTAACATTACTAAAAGTGCCGCTGGTTTTGTCACAAATTTGGCGCGTTCTTAACAACTTGTTAAATCAACCAGACACTGACATCATCGCGTACCAACACTTGTTTTGTTCGTCTCTTTCCTCATTGTTCAAATCTATTCTGCGGTATTATTTCCTTTTTGTGTTTCATTTGCTTTAAACTCCCACGTTACATTATTTTCGTTGAAATTTATGCCGTAAACAAAAAAACACTTCTGTGTCATTACAGTACTGTTTTTCCTATAATAATAATATTTTAATAAATCATATAAAAGAAGTATAACAATTATCGCTGTAAGTTGTAATTGTAACTTGGTGAGCAATATCTTGCTTCAAAACGACTACCAATTGATGTATTGTTCGTTTTTTTTTTTAAAAGAATGCAAAGAATGTTATCGAATCGTTTTTTATCTGCTTTACACAATAAAAATACATTAAAAGTCCAAATATTTTTTTGTATTATTTTTAGCGTCAATGCTACAGGCAGTACGTGGGTCGGGCAGCTCTGTGACAGTTACAATGATTATAATAGCCGATGTCGCCCGATGCGACGACTCAAAAATAAATTATTGTATATCGATCTACCCACGCATCCACTTTCATCAAACCGTAACGCACTTCAAAAATAATCCGCGACTAATGATATCGATGACGCTTTTCAATTCTTTATAATAATAAACAAAGCCCTCAGTTTAATCCCAATCTATGAGGGCTTTCTTTGCTTCCTTTTTTTGCGAGATATTTTCTCTGTAAGAGTTTGACGCTGAGCGTTCGGAGCATTTAAAAGCTGCCAGCAATCTCAAGTTGTTCTTTGTTTGTTATGCGAGAGTTGTTTCACAGGTTAGGAACTTGCGGCCGGCCGCCGTGTCTGACCTCTCATCTCGATTGATGGCTCTTTGTATTCATGCCTAATCTTTGCAATTATATGTAAATCAACTTAGTTATTAAAAATCATGAATTATTGTATTTTGATTAGAAACTATTTATTTTATAACTCATAAAAAAACCCACTTAGAAAAAAATTTGTTCATTAGAAAAAGTGTTTCCAATATGCTTAATACAATAAAATAAATAGGGAATTGGTTTTTATAAGAAAATTTCCTGTAATGCAAAAATAATCGAGAAAACAAGAATAACATAATGATCTCTCTTCTCAAAGGAAGTCTAAGGAAAGGGTAAAACAGATTTTTTGTAATGGTTCAAACTTACTGCTGGTTATAAAAAATTAAATGGTACATATTAAGTGCTCGTAACAAAGTTCATTTTAAGTAATATCCGTCACCCCTGTGTAATAAAGGTTTCGTAGAAAGATATCGCGTTTTCCGTTACTTATAAAGATGATATCATAAGTAATACTCATGACATTATAATTAAAATGAATTGTAAGAATAATAATTTTACTAAGTACCTATTCCATTTTTTGACTTAACGTCGTCCTAATTTTACCAAAGCGACTGTTACAATCCACATTTAACACTTTAAACTTTAATTTATGAACACATTTAACTAAAATATCTAAAAAGAAGGAACATTTAATATTTATAAAATAATATTATTTTGCTTTTCTTAATATTAATATCTGTGTACGCTGTCGTATTTTTCTATTAATGTAAACGTCGAAGCTTGATATAACAATAGTGCTAAATTTTGTAAGCAATCCATTCATTAAGTTGTGCAGTTAAGGGAAATCAGGTATGCATTCTGTCGTTTTGCATTAGTTAAAAAAAACAATTAATCTGACCTGGATTGAACGTCAAGCCGCTTAAAATAATTGCTGCATAAATTGACATTCAATTCTAATTGTGCGGGGTTTGGTTTCGTTTGAATTTTCG